TAAATCACAGGCAGGCAAGGGTTTCTCCCACTTGAGAGATGGGAGGACAGAGCGGGAAGTAGGAAGCTGTTAGGCTAGGAATACAGCAAGACCAAAGTCTGTGAAACTAGCTGAATCTCTCTTACCAATATCAAGTAATGCCATTATCAGCTGCAGGATGAATGTGATGCTGAGAAAAGCAATTGCTTTACACCAAATAGCACAGGTCAGTCCTGAAAGTTTGTGTATTTTTAGCAATGTAATTTACATTTTAGCATCAAAAGCATCCAGTATCACAACCAGAGTTTTACAGCAGGTAAGAACAAACTAGAAATTATTCCTCTGTCTCTCTGCCTGGAAACAATGTGAGTACAAGAAAAGGAGCAACAGCGATGGGTTTCTGACATGTTTTAGAGGTGGAGAGAACACACTGCTTGCTCCCAGGGAAGTCAGGAAGGAGGAACCTACATGGAGAAGTTCCAAAAAATCAGAGCTAAACTGTCTGTAAGGGTCATGAAAGAAAATTGAATTGATAGAAAAGTGATGAAGGTGATACTACAACAGGATATCCCATAACAGTTCTTCTCGGGTTTTCTGTAAATACATGTGGATTGCCACACTCTGGCATAGGTTTTTTTTAGGAACTGTGGCATACCACTACTGGGCTTTTGAATGCCTGATTTTTGAAACAGAAAAGACAGCATGGATACAAAACCAAACTGTCTTCTTCTGTCAGTATCCTAAATCTAAGATAATTCTATTACAATTGAGTTTACCAAGTCTGAAGCAATCCAGACCAGGGAAGAGCTGATTTAGAGACAACTTGCTGTACGGTAGGATCTTAGTGAGAGAAAAGTATGTATGTGAAGGATCTCAATAAAAAGGCCAAATTTTCAGTTCATATGCAGTTTTATAAATATAAGACCTTTAGTTTTATTCTATGATGTTTCCATAACTTTGTGGCATTCTGTCCTAAAAATAAATCACTCCATTTAGAGTGACTGGATCTACTGCTTGCACTACCTGCCCATCCACTGAGAAGAGGTAACAGAGGAAATACTATCTTAGTTGCTGGAAAGGCAGAACAAATCAGAATGTTCACAGCCTCCCCCAGGTGATAACGTACATCTTTCCAAAAAATAAATTGACTGTGAAACTAACTCTATGGATGTGAATTAACAGTAATTAGGACGTTAAGATTTGTACTAGAGTAGTGCCTGGGAGCAGAGCTGGCATTACACACATAGGGACATAGAGGTGCTAAGACAGGCATCTTCTCTGTCTCTGACAACTACACTGGGTGACGTGTGCTCTTACCTAACTCGGCCGAGCAACAAACCAGTTGCTTTGGTTGGTTGAGTTGCTTTGGCCTAGAAACCTTTGTCCTGGATCATGCATAAAATTGGTGTTAGACATAAATAATCAACTGCTAAGACAAATACAGAATACCTACAAAGTGCTGAATTTGTCATCACCTGAATCCTTTCAGTCCCAGTAGAAATATCTTTCCAAAAGAGATGTCATAGCTCAGTCACAAGGCTTGGGCTTAGCATTTGCTCAGGATGGTTCTCTGGGCTGGGCTAAGCAGGACCAAGCAAATTTCAAGGCCTCTTTCTTCAGTGGAATTTGATACTGGCTTTTCTCACTCTATCTGCGGACATTTCAAGCTATTATGGAAGTGGTGCACAATAATGAAATTACAAATGCTTAAACATCCACTGGTAGTCTCTACTGGAAATAACACAGATTGGAAATTCATATCTTCAGATACCATTACAAGCTAGTTTGGAATAAAAAAATGAAGTCAGATCTTTAGACAATTTATACAAATCAAAAGTTGCAGCATCAGTCGTCAAAACAAAGCTGCTTTCTCCTTCATGAAATATTAAGAGAACTTTTACCAGTAGCATGCAAATGACATTTGTATGAAACCTGCTTTGCAAGTCTCAAACCTGCCAACTAAGAAATAAAATCTAAACAGTGAGGAGTGAGTAAGTCATAGTTTCAGAGTAATTTGGCAGGTGCACATGGGAAATCTCAAGGACAATGTGATTCAGAAAGTGGAAGAATAATTAAGTAGAAGGGTTCATTATAGTCAGGAACATGAAAAATTGTTTTGATTTCAAGATGGAAATACGCAGCTACAAGCCAGTTGATGGGCCCAACAGATATTTTTATTTGAAATAATATAAAAGAGAGTCATTGTTTGTGAGACATTGGGTTTTTATAAAATGAATCTCATACAGAACAGGTCCGAAGCATGCTTTTAAAGTGGCAACATTTGTTAAGAGATGGAGAATACAGTTAAATATACAGAGCTATTAAAGGCTATTAATATTGTTGGATTTTTCCTGCTATTTGTTGATGCTCAGGTTAACTGTCTTATAAGGAATTGTTATTTCCTAGTCATATCAGTACTACAATGAAATTGGTTAAAAATAAAACCCACAGCTAAATTTCTGCAGCTCAGTTTCAGCATGTTCTAGGTTATTTTTTCCTCCTTTTCACTCTCTCTCCCTCCCCACACATGCAAGAATATAAAATACAAATTAAGGCACAATCTGTACCTACTAACTATATTGCTACAAATCAGCTACAGCCAGCTGACATTTCAAATTTTTGTTCCAGGGGCAGAGGGCAATCCAGTGCCTATCCCTAGTTGGCTCTTGAACCTTGACTATTAAAAGGACCCAGTCACTATGAGTACACTTAAGCTTTCAGAAGGGGCTCATGAGGTTTATTCCTTTCCTATAGCCAGACAGATGGTTAAAGGAAGATGGCCAAGGCAAGCAAGGGAAACTCCTTTTTGGCATTCATGAGTGAACAGACCATCTAACAGCAAATTCCCAGAATAAGCTACTCCCTGCTAAGGCAGCAACTGAAACAGCTACCAATCAACATATCCTTTAAAAGTCCAGACAAACATTTAAAGGAAAACATCTATCTGGTACCAGCACATAAAGCAAGGTAACTGGAATTCCTCAACATCTTTTATCCCTGCATACATCCCATACATCCCCATGTGGGGTGGTGTATACATCCACCCCACATGCCAGCAATGGGAGATTTTAAGCTAGCAGGCAGATTTTTAGCTAGTAGGATCGGCTCCGCAGGCTCACATACCCTACTTAGTGCCAAAGTTATCATGACCAACCTCCAGGCTTTGTTCCTTTAATGTCTCAGGTTCTAAATGACAGAAAGAACTCATACAGATGAATAAAAGAGTGAGGAGCAGAATATTCAAACAGGCTGCACGTCTGAGTGAACTCTAGTATACAGCAATAGTAGCCTTTTTCTTCTTTAAATCATTTCAGCTTTGAGTATTCCAATCTTGCTCATATCTAAGCTGCTATCTAAAACAAGTGACAGAAACTCAAAATCTTAAGTCATGAGCACACCCCTTTCCAGATGAAAATACGCTGGATGAAGAGCCCCCCCAGCTTGGTCTCTGGCAGAAGTTCCTATCCCATCTTCCTGCCCCTGTTTACAGCTAAATTGGAGATCAGCAGGTCAGGAGTGGTAATCTTGAAGCAATGAAAGGTTCAACAGGTCAGGAGGGAACTGCTCCGTTTGACAAGGCTCTTAGATAGCACAGCCTATATGCCCATAACCTCCACTGAAAGCTGCCAAAGGACATTTTCTTGACAACTTTATCAAAGCATAGTGCAGAGTAAAGCAGATGGCTAACTAAAAGGCAGAAGCTTTGTATTAACTAAGGGAATTCTTTTCAAGTAGCCTGACTTGTAGAAAATATCAATCTTTTTCACTGTAAATAACTCTAAATAAAAGAATCATACTGAACTGAAATATCAGACCTCCGGGAATAGATGAGTAATTGCGTGGGCTCTCAATGGAAAAGCTTTTCTCTCACTCAACTTTGTCATGCACTATTACTGAGAATAACAAACTGATAAATAACACCGGGGACACACAGAGCGATGACCAGATTTTGGACAACGTGATTTCATTCTGTGGCACTGGAGACGGAATAATGCTCCATACATACAGATCTCAACACCTACAGTCTTCTGACTTCATTTGCTCGTGTTTATTGCTTTGGTCTTGCCTTCCTCAAAACTGCATTTTAAAACTTTATTTTCTTCGCCCTCTGTAGCTCTAGCCTAACCCTTCCCAGCCAGTTTTCCACCCCCATGCATGCAAACTCTGTTAATCCTAGAAGAGTATGAGAACTTCAAGAGAAAAAAAAATTAAAAAGTGTTTGGATTTGTAGTGCCAATTCTTTTTTTTTTGGCGGGGGGTGGGGGTTTGTTGGTGGGAGGAGGAAGGGAAGGAAATGAAACACTGTAAAACACTGTAATATGTGGAGCATTAGATGCAAAATGTAAAAGCATGATGTTCTAATAGTATCCTGTATTGAGCTGCATTTTTAAAACAAAATGTATCAGTTTTAAAATTAAGGAAAACTAGAGATACTGCAGTGAGATTTTTAATCCAAGCTTTGGAGAACATATTCCCCAGGTTAGTTCAAACCTGCATAATAGGTCTAAACTTAAGATTTTCATTCTTGTGCACGTATACACAGACACATACCCCTCTTCATGCAACAGGGAGTATGGTTACAACATTGCTGCATTCTGTTAAAAACTTAACATGTGGGACTGTAATATGCTTGTTACAATCTCATACAGGCCAAAAATTCAGGGATGAGAGATATAATAGAAATCAGAATAGATGGGTATGGTGGGGATTCAGTGCTGACTGTGTTTGATGAATATCTTTACTGCTTCTGCTGCTGCTCTTATAATTTCCTCTTGCAAATATTTCTTTCTCAGAGGATGCCATAACATACGAGCGCTCAAGTCTTCCATGCACGTTTCAAAAATACAGTCCTAGATCAGCTGAACTTCTGATTAGAAGCAGATGAGTTATTTAAATGAATGCCAAGAAGTCTATATAATATCCTTAAAAAAAAGGAAAAAAGTTTTCTAAATGTCACCAGCAAGAAAATCCACAAAAATTATCTTCGAACTACTTCACTGCAGTACAATTCCCACAAGACCTTACAAAACCAAAGTCTTCTTCAGTGTATACCACTTTTTTTCTTTTGAATGTACAGTCGGTTGCAGAGCAATGAGATATAAGCAGACTGTTGTCTGCTTACTGCTGGTTACTATTGCTACAGTACTCACCATTGTTCGAGTCCTTTGCTGATTTTCATTCTGAGGACTGTAGTAAAATGCCAGCAGCCACAGCAAAGCATCTGGTTCTACAGAGGCCTTCAGTAATTGTTCTGCTGCAATATCCAGCCATTCTCCAAAACGAGCAATCAAAAACCAGATTTCAAAAAGGTCAGCAAACGAACTGGAAAGAAAATTTAAAACATATAAGTATTTCTTGTTATTAAGCATTTTAAAATGTCTTAAGTTAACTACAAAGGGTGCTGGCATTAAATATGAGTGTAAAACTCTTCTTCAGCAGATAATGCCTCACTTGTTAAGCAAGTACTCATGCATTGTATTATTTGCAGTAAAGACCAAAGAAAACAAACACCAATGTTACTAAAAAGTGAACTTTGTTGAACAGAGTATCTACACCACTGGCTTCCAAAAAACAGCAGTGATAAAATATTTTCTATTAAAATATAAAATATTTTAATAACTATTTTAAAACTATTAAAATATACACCTCAAAATTAAACTTTACAGTTAATGCTCTCCAGTTTAAGGATTTTAAAAACTTAAAATCCTATCTTAAAAAACTGCTCTAACATACTATTGGCTTATATTGCTTTCCAGTTTCTTTTCTGTTTGAGAGCATATGTTTTTGATGATTCAGAAGGAAGTACCTTTAAGTGGACTAAATGCAAGTTTTTAAGGATAGGCATCTCCTGGCTTTTAAAATTCTGATCCTCTTCAATGAAAATTTGGAAGATATTTACAATCTTAATTACAGCAGCAAGGAAAAGAAAGGTCAGAAAGGACCACAGCTCATCTCTACACTCCCTTGTATGTACTCATCTGAAATTAAGACAGATTATTTTCGCCACAGCTGCTTCAACTACAGACCTGCGAGAACAGAAAAAATGAGGAGATCTAAAGTAATGATAAGCCTCCCCCTGAGCAGCAAGTCAAATAGATAGCTTCTGGAAGGAAGAGAGGAAGCAAGGAGACTAAAAACCAAGAATGACTAGTCCTACTAAGCTGTTAGGCTGAAAAATCAGAGGTTTTTCTTCTGTTTTGTTGCTGGGGATTCCAAGAGCTGCTGTGTCACCCTTCCCAGGGAAGCCTAAGAGATTTTAGAAGTTTCAGGAGTTGAGGTGCTGGTCTGAGACAACTTCATCATCTGGAGAATTTGACAATGTGACGGTCGGAATAAAATGCTTTATCTTTTAGACTTTCTGAAAAGGTGGGAAGATGTGCTTTTAATCCCCACAGATGTGGGGATGTGCTCTGAAGGTATGATGAGTGCAGATAACATTCCATGCCTAGGAGTATACTGTTCAGACATGTCCTCCACAGGTGCCCCCAAATTACTGATACTGTAAATCGTAATGTCTATATGCCACACTATCCTGGGGTCTCAAAATCCTATTCCTGGTGGACATAAGTCCACCATATTAATATATTTGGACAAGTAGGGTCACTGACAGGTGGGCACTGACATCAGACACAACCGTTTGGCAAAGGATGGGCTGGAAAATACAGAACAATGTGACAGTGATATAAATCATTGCTTTTGATGTCACAGCCTTAGCGCGGCTAACAGCACATTTCTGATCCAGGGAACAACAGGAGATGTGTGGCAAAATGTAAGACTAAAATTGCTCATATAAAGGAACAGGCTCAACGCTGATAGAGTCTCTGAAGACACTAGAATCTGGAAAAGCAACAATAAAAACCTTTGAAAAACAATACAAATGTAATAGTAATCTGGGACAATAGCCTTCCCCTCAGCAAAATAATCTGAATTATCTTGAGATAAGTAAGTAATGTCATGACAACTTAAGTGGATAGGCAAGGTCTGAAATCCAGGGACTTACAATTACACAAGAAATTTAATTAAAAACTAATTATTAAGAATTGACAGCTATACTAAGGTAATATAGACAGTATTTACAACTGGAAGCGTTGATAGCTCAGAGGGTAAATACATATCCTTAAACCTGAAGCATTAAAATGACTTCAACATGTACACAGCAGAACAGAACCTTATGCTTGCCTAGAGAGCCAAGGCACCATTGCACTTACAACTCATTGTAACTGCCATATCATCCTGAACCAGTGCCTGGTTTGGAGTCACATCCCCACCACCTCTGTCCCCATCACAGTCTCTGCTCACTCTCTAGTGGCAACTATGTCAGCCACTATCGCCATAAATGGTCCTTCAGTTTTTCTGGGATATTTTTTTTTCTTTGTAAACTTACCTCAGTTGATTTCTATTTTATAATACCATGTAACATTTACTGTTTATTGACATGACTACACATAATAATAAAAAATGGTAGAGAGGCACTGTATGTATTAGCAATGCATAGGAAGCACTCTGCTGTAAGACTTAACATTTAGTACCAAATAAGAGCACCAGAAAAAAAGCTGCATAAACAAAAAGCACTCATTATAAGAGACAAGAAGATATGCTGTACTGCAGTAATTTTTTGCTCATCTGTTAATCTCATTAAGTAGAAAGGATATAGAATCAGGAATAAATCAATAAAAGACAGAAGAAATACAGTTCCTCATGGATATTAGTTTCTAAAAACTTAAGCCAGATCCATTTTCTTTCTAACAGAGAGGCATTTGAGAGGAAACATAATCGCTGCGTGACTGTAAAGGAAATAAGATATTCTGGCAAGTACAGTACTATTCAAACTACTGTACTATCAAGGCCAAAGGGGGAAAAGGGCAAAATAAGCCAAAAAAAGGCTAAGCAACAAAAGGAGAATAGATATGCATGCTTGCATTATTGTAACACATTATGATGGATGTTATTTGTTTTATTTGTTTGTTCTGTGCTTGAGTTACGGTTCTTTAGGAAGCCAGGGTCAGCCACTGGTCATGCTTTAAGGGAGAAAGGGTTTGACAGACTTCAGAGCAGAACAGGCGAGACATAGCACCCAACTGCAGCTCAAACAGAAAGCGAGAAGCAGGTAGCAGACAGCCAGGCCTCAGAGGGAATCGCAAAAACTTTATTCTACCACTCAAAAAAAACCCTCTATGAATTAACTGAAACTAAGTGCGGACAAAAGGACCTGCCTCTCAGGACACCATGAAAAAGGCAACAGTTAGGAGTCTTGTTTTGTGAATCTATCTGACTTGGCCACTCCATGTTTCTATTTAAACTCTTTTAGTTTTTAAATCAAAATGAAATCGGCTTTTTTTTGAGTTTAAAAGCCGTTCAATACTCTTTGGCAGGCTCATTCTTGGAGTAGGCCTAAGCAGATTCCTATCAAAGCTATAACCAACTTAGGGTCTGATCATACACCTGGTAAAAAAAAGAACTGGAGAGCAGCAACAGATAGGGATGTATCTTTTTTCATTCTCTTCATATACTCCTAGAACATCTATCACCAAAGCAGAATTAATGCAGCCAGACACTATCATTCCGTTATAGCAACCATTCAGACAAAAAAGCTAAGGATAAAAGGTCAGACACATGGGGTTTCACCTCCACGTGAAACATAAGAAACTATGAAATAGCCTAACAGTTGTATATTGATGAAAAAAAATTAAGAGAATTGAAGTTCAGATATTTGCACAAACCTGTAAAAAGCCAATCCCATCTCCTTTATAAGCAATCCTGCTATTTTTTCAATACTAGCTGCTCTTCTGGAGGGGAGAGTTCTCTTGTTATGCCCAGGAAATGGAAAAATGTCAGACCAAGTTTCCAGTCAGCATCCTCAAAGGTAACCTGCCTTCCTCCAGCCCATAGTTTGGGCTCATTTTTTTCCCCACATGGCAAACCTCCCTGTACATCCCCTCAAAGTGCTTCTTCAGGACTCTGCTTCTGCTGCATTAATGAGGAGAAAGAAGACTCTTCTTAAGTGTGAACAGTGGCTCCATGTCCTGAAGACAAAGAATGAGCAAGGGCAATGCTCAGGACAAGTTCCCATTGGCTTGTTTGCACTGGGCCCTCTCTGGACACAGCAATGATTTTGAAAAATTCAGGCCAAATAGAATTAGAAATTCAATCCAGAACAGATTCTAAAAGTTTCAGGAGAGAAATGGGAGAAGGCAAGTAAGCACTTCTTTGATACAGTTCAGCTGTTTACTGAAGTGAAAGGAATTACGAAATTGTGTTTTCTGAGGGGCTTATTGGTCATCTACATGTGCTACAAAGATCAGTTCTAAAGGTACTCTAAGTCCTATATCTTTAAAAGGAGGCTGAATTTAGAGAATAATAAGAAAATTACACTTGAAGAAATGTGGCCTGCAAAGACTGCAAAGTATGTGACTTTCCACAAAGTAACAGATGCAAAGGATAAAAAAGTGTGAGAATACAATATTGCTTACCTAATGCTTTCACCTTCTAGTAATGCTTTGAGCACTTCTGAAATGTGTTTCAAGTGTTGACAGCAGTGCGTAGCTGGCAATTAGTGGGCAATGGAGAATAAAAATCACAAGAAAAATGATTTTTTTTCAAGTGCAAAGGTTCAGCCAGAACAGAATTAGTACAAAATTAACCGTACTAAACTAGCATTAAAATGTGTACAACATGACTCTGTTTTCACACAGCATTTAAAATTTCATAATTTTCAGCCTATTACTGTATTTTCTTAGAACAACTCAGTGACAATGCCAAGTAAGGAGGTACAGCTAGGTATATTCTTCAAATTAAGCTGATGTACCCTTGTACAAATTCTTCTTCAATATTAACATATAACCAGTAGAAAAACATTCTCAGAGGCTCTTACACCGAGCAGAAATTGTTGCTCATGAAGAACTGTACCACGTTAAGTAGTGGTTTCTTGATCTACATAAATGAAGAACCTAAAAAAAAACAGTTTGCAGTTTAAAAGCCCAGCTGAATTCAAGCTTACAGAGGCAAACAGCAAGGCAACACACTAATTCTTGTAACATACGTATGACAATTTTCATAATGACAATTACTGGTATCGCAAGATAAGAATATTCATATCTTTACAGATCTCAGTAACTTGTCTTAATTCCTAGCATCACTGCTTTTACAGTAAAAATAATGCATTCCTCCCTTGTTATCCAGCTTGGTTTTAGTTTTCTTCAGAGTTGTATCTGTATTTTTCTTACATAATAACTAGGTGTGCCTACAGAAGATACATTAAAAGATTGTTATAAGAATTGCAAAGTTAAAACACCTAATTTAAGGAAATAATAAAATATAAGTTGCAGTCAAAAATCTTTTCTTAGGCCCTTTTAAAGTTACTTAAGACATACAGACAACGCAAGTTAATGCTGTAAAAATTTACTGAAGAAACTTACCAAAAGGACATCTGAGTAAAGCTATTGCAAGAGGCTGGTGATGGTGAGAGAAGTAGGCTTTCAATGGAAACTTATGCTAAAATACAAAATTGTCGTTTTGAAAATTGACGAGAAAGTTCTTAAGAAGAAACCCACAGCTAACAAACTCATCTAACATAGTAACTAACAATACATTCTGAAGTATAAAGACACAAAATTGATTCTAGACTTAAAATTATTTTAAGATTTTGCTAATTATTTTTTGTAAGAAAAGCTTGCTTAGAAAAAATAAGTATTTATGGATTTTTTAATACACGCATTAAAAACGATTAAGAGTACGATGAGGAATAAATCTTACTATTCCCAGTTTTTTTTCCACTATAACCACAAAAATCTTTATTCTTCTTTATTCTGATACGCAGAGGTAAAAAGAAATATTAATTTATTTGCTTTCATTTTATGATGGAAATGGGTTCCTGGACCTTATCCAGCTAAGAACAAGTAACAACCATAACATCTGAGGGTATGATGTAGATAATTGCCCTATGCTCAGAAATGGAAAATTAAAACTCTTAGGATCTTATTCAGTAGGTAGTCATTGATGACAAATTCACCCTCTGTTTAGCTGTGTGTGATTTGTACACTGTGAACATAGCTGCTTGTGCAATTATGAAACTAACAGCAGCACACCTTTAATCATTTGTTCTGCAAGCATCTACTACAGCCACATCTAACACGTAGTGTGCATGTATAACTGCAATGTGAGCTCTGTTTAAGTCACCATACTAATGACCTTAGCACTCTTATGGCTCCTTTCTTTCGGAACAGGAGACTATTCAGCAAACAGACCATCTCTCAAAACACAGACTTGGAAAACACACTATATAGAATGTGATAATTTTCTGAATCCAATAAAGACCGCATTTAGTTTAAGAAAACTCATTTCATTCAGATTTGGGAAATATATACATATAAACAAATATGTCTTATAAACAAATATTGTCTTATAAACAAATGGAATGACTCATTAACATTATTTTTCTTTTCTGTAAACAATAGTTATTTGAAATTACGCAGTAATATATACAATATCTTCAAACAGTACATTGTATCACTGGTATTATAAGACTCTAAAAGTCTATTGTCAAGTGGAATTACGTTAATTAAAAATTAATAATCCCTATACTAACATATGCCTGTAGCCAATTAGCTTGCAACAACAATCCCCATGAAAAAGCAGCCCTTAACACAGTTAGTAGCCAAGACAACCCACAGCATGAATTACGTATGACAACAGTTTTGCAAGATAAGTGAAAACTGGTTTTCGGCATACAGTTTAAGCAAAGCAAAAATGTTTGCTTCCTACCATACAAGCACAGTAATTTAGGCAGTTCGTTCCTTACATAAACCATCACAAACTACCAAACACGGTAATAAGAGGTAAAACAAGTTTGGATTGGCTGGATATAACAACTGACATAACAATACCACCTTCGTCACATAACAATAAACAGGAAATAAAAGTGGAACACCAATTAAAAACATTTATCCAGCTATTTAAAACAAATACTTAATTTCTAGGTGAAAACAGCAGGTGATCATGGAACGATCAAGCAAAAACACCTTTGGAGGAAATAACAATTTCTATCAAACAAATACATAAGCTTTAGGTTTATAAATTCAAAACTAACATGACCTAAGTATCCTTAAGTCAGCTCTCACTATCATTACAAACTTGAAAAACCCTGCTTGTACAAAACATAGGGGATCATCCCAACAACGGTCCCAATATGTGCATTCTTACAATTTCTTTTTTTGCTGACTACACATACGGTCTTTTTTCTTGAGTAAGTTTAAACTCCATGTTCCTTTTATACCTTTTTCTGTCTACCAAAACACAGAAGAGCAAATCTACGCCTAAGTTGCACAACACCCTTTTTTCAAACTGTCCATTTTTTTCCTACATTTTCTTGCTCTCTCTAAACAGTCTGCAAAGTTATTAGAAAAGACAGTTATTTTTGACATCTGCCACACTGGCATAGGGAATCATTCTCCTCCTACCTTGCAAACCTGTGCAGCCGCCAGACAAGACCTGGCTCTTTGAAAGAATTTTTGGACACATTTGTTTGCTTAGCCTTTTTTCAATTAATTTTGCTATGAATTCCTAAAGTCTCAAATGAGCCAGCCAGATCCCTCTTCATCCTCTGTCATTAAGTAGTTTTACCCTTCTTATGTGAAATGTTAATGGAGTAAATTATGTCCTGTTAAGTGTATCCAGATACCACAAAGATGGGTGCCTTATGTATACATGTAATATTGGTATGACAAAACAAATATGATTGGACTGATTTAATCAAAGTTTAGGAAGTAGTCCATGCCTGCATTCTTATATGCCAAGTCTTAGCTAACATTATGATTCATTCAAAAACTCTGAAACAAAGGATTTTAGATTCCAATATTGAAGATACTACCTTAATTAGAGCCCAATGAATTAAACTGTATATAAACTGAATACAGGAAATCTACCTAACATTTAAAATCAGCTTCAAAAAAAGTGGGCGATACTCCATGTCACAGTGTTAGCAGATGAACGACTTTCACCCTAAAGCAAATTCATTGCCTGCACAACAGGTTTAGCCCTAAGGTGTCTGAAGGGTATGGGATCTTTCCGTGCATTCTGCACCCAGTCACCCCCACCTCCCTGGGGCTACACAATGTGCTGCTGCCATGCAACCAGGGTGGCATAAAATTTACATGCGCAGCACCTACTCATTACACAAGACAGCTGCAGTTTCATCCTTAATTCATAGTGCTTGAAGCTAGAAGACGGAGTCAATCACAATGCTAATTAGAAGCAAGTACATCACGAGTTCCAAGATGAAGACCCAAACCTTTCTTAACTATCATCTTAACCATCATCTTCCAAAAAGATGCAGAAGTCAAAGGAACTAGAAACTTTTTCAAGTCTAAAAGGGAAAACTATTAAGCAGTAGGATACTTCCCCAAACTTTTGTCATGAGGTTAAAAAGAAAAACAAAACCAAAACAAAAACAAAAAAATCATAACCAAATAAAATGGTAAAAACGTCAAATGACAGTGTGTATTGGGTGCCTTAAAGACGCCTGTAGGCTATAAACAGAACAAGACTTTTTCAAATTCCCGTTTTGAAATTTAAAAATGAGAAACTGATCCTCCTCTTGGTTCAACAAGCATACAACAAAAATAATTCATTTAATTCAGTAAGAGCAGGGCAAAAACTTGTACAGGAGAAGAGTTCCTAAGCTGGGAAACTTCAGGCTTTAGACTGAGGAAAGATCTCTGAAAGGTCACTGTTGAAGGTTACAGACTGAAAGCGGTATATGTATTCCAGGTCTTTGACCTTTTAGACAAAATAACTAAAAAACTGACTATTTTGTATTCTACTTATGAATTTTTGGAAGGGGAGAGAGGGGGGGTTATCACATCCCTTTCATTTATTAACAAGATCCATGCTACTGCAGAAGAAAAACTCATTTAAAAATTTCAACCCTTCTATCCAAGATAGATGATCATGCCGTTGTTGACTGTGCAGGCAGAAACCTGAGCATCCGCATAACAAAATAACTGCCCTTGTGTAAGTCACAGTTTAGATTGGGGGATTATTCCAGGATAATGTCAGGTAAATTCCTCTTACATATTGGTTTTGCACTGCATTTTTCTCAGATGAAAACGTCCAAACTGACATGCTTTGGCATGCACATAAGGCTGCAGAGGGACACTATTATTTAGCTCATTATGTTCAACCACCATTCTTAACAGCATAATTTTTTTTTCTTACAAATTTCATCTTTCATTAAAAAAAAAAAAAAAGCCATTAAAAATAGATCTCGACTAACCTGCTTGTTATCATTCTGGTGAGCCTCAACAAAGAGCTGTGTAAACACCTGTATTATGGTCATAACTTCTGGAGCTCCATCAGTTTCCAGCAGTGCATTCCTACACATTGAAAAGTTAGATTATGACAGATCAGATCATTAGTGTGCCAATCACACCACTGCTAATTGAAAGAAGGGGGGGGGGAAAAAGTACATTCTTTCCATGTTGTAGCCTCAAGCTGAGTCTGAACTCATCAGGCATGAAAACTGACAGAACCACTAACCTCGCAGGCATGTTTTAAAGAAAACATATGTTAAATATACATATATGTATTACGTATATACAATAAACACACAGACATAAAGAATTTCCCCTACCTGTATGGGAAAAAAAGAGTAACATTAAAAAAAATAGACTACCCAGAACCTTAATTTTCAGCATCTGTATAGTCTTACTGGGTCAACAGAACTATTCACAAGCTTACAGTCAGGCATACTTTAGTGCTTTGCTGGCCTGTGTCCCACAGGCCATGTCAAATTAGACGAAAAGCATAATCTCCTGGGAAATGGTACATGGAGCAAAAGAAAACTATTTTGACTAAGACTGTTAAGTATTGCTCTCCTACTGAAGCAAGGGAAATTAGAAAAAGAAGTTGGGCATTTAAAATGCTAAACAAGAAGATTGAACCTAATATTTAAACAATACAGCTGGCATTCAGTCTCTGTGACTCCTTAGTGATTGTTAAGCAACAAGTCAGAAGCACAAAAAGAAATGAATATTACCAGAGGTGTACTCTAAATCAGTAACTGCTACAGAAGTAATTAGGGACAAATGCATTTCCAAGTGCTTTCACTGTTGAAATCATAAAAACCCATTCTGGACATTTTATATGTCAGGAAGGTGAAAGCCTTAACTGGCCTTCCATAGGGCATAATGATTTCCTGAGCAAATGCAGCAGGAAAAGACATGGGCAGCAGAGAGTAATTTTCCTTCTCATCTTTGAGAGACATGTAATGTTAAGGGAAAAAGAGTTCAGAGTAAGCTGCCACTGAGATACCACAGTGTCTACTATTAGGGACTTATTTATCCCTTTCCATAACAGTCTGCAAGATGGGAACAAATAACACAATCCTGTAATTCAGAAGTTTCACAAAACTAGAGGAAAATATAATCCCTGACATAATAGGGGATAGAAACATACATATCAACATACATTACATAGAAACTCACAGAGGCTAGAAGTCTGTATATACACACACAACAACAAAATAAGCTTCTACTTGGGAAAAAAAAAAGTTTATATGCCTGAGATAAAACAGTCTAACAAAATCACGCACAAAGAGAATACAAAGGGCAGGAAAAATTATTCCTGAAAGACATATAACGTTGAGATGTATGCTTCTAGCAGAGAATTGCCCCCTAAAACATAACTGAAGTTTTGTGCTGGGTGTAGAAAGTAATAAAGTAAAAGTTCTCTTTCAGCAACAACTCTCTAAAACCTCCCATGGGACTAAATACAGAATGGTGTGTTAATTTCTGGGCAGCACTTGAAAAAAGTTGGAGGTATGTCAGAGAAGTACAGCAAAAATGAACACAAAGCTGCAGAAACAACTGATCTGCAAAAGCAGGCTAACATGTACAGCTTCATTTAATACTAAGAGGACTGGAAACACAGTATTTTTTAAACAAATTAAGGGTTTAACGCCAAGAATATAAAGGATGTACTTAATGCAGTGCATGACTGTACTAAATAGACACAATGAAAAGCAAGCAAGAAAACAGACAGACTCTTATGCTAAACAACAGAAGAATACGCTGAATTTCTGAAATCATTTGCAACATTAAAAAAAAAAAAAAAGTATTATTAGGAAATACTTATACACTAATTTTGTCTCATTACACCATCACTATAGACAGCCTCCAACCTAAGACATTTGTACAGGTCTGTTTAGAAATCATATCAATCCTCAGGTGCATTTTTCCTCGGGAAAGTGACTGCTGTCGACTTCAACTCTTCAGAATATGCTAACCCTGCTCAGAAAATGGAAACAGTAATGGAAAGGACTGCTATAGCAAGAGCTACAAAAATGGTTCCCTCTCACAACACAGACATCTGCAGTAGACTTTCTTCTGTTAGTACCTGCACAAATGTCAACTGTGCATACACATAGACACCTAAATACCACCAAATACATGCACCCAGAAGCTGTTTTTCCCTTATGAAGCAGAAGCTTTGATGAATGAGGACTGTCAGTTTCTTGTCAGCATTGAGTATTATTTTGTACTAAAACTGTAGTACTGACTAGGGCAGGGGTAGAGCTACTTAAAAAGAGTGGTGAAATCATAAGAAAGTCAACGGAAGAGAAAAAGCGCCTGAAAATTGAGTACAAAGGACTGGCAGCCCCCATGTGGTGAACAATATATATTACTTGACAATTTAAAATGCATTCAAAAACAGATTCTTTACTAACAGGCAGATCAACAGTTTAATGCTATTAAGAGCGTAGCTGATGTCAGTCCTGAAGCTGATGTCAATCCTGAAGGATTTTTAACACAATTTTAGAGAGGCCGCACTCGTCAGTGCAAATGTTTTAACTCAACTCCAAGCTCTTCATGCTGCCACAGGCCAAGTCATTACCAAGCACTTATATTTCCTACATCAGATCATATTTCAGTCACAAATCCCTCCTAAAATACAAAATAAACTCAAAGTTTTATTTTAAAGGCTAAAATACAGTGCAGTCAATTGTATCAATAATTGTTTTAACGTAACTTTCACACAAGTTGCATTTCAAGATTAACATTGGCTATTATTGCCAGTACGTGACACAGAGTCACATGCATGCAGCAAAAGAATAAGATATCCAGAAATTACAATACATCACAGATTATAATACTGCATATTCATAAATAAAAGCTCAGTGTTTAAACTGGTCATTTAAAATGCTTCCCAACACAATTGCAAAACTTACTTGAAAATTTCATCAACAATTCTGAAAACGGCAGGATGGCTTGCTGCTTGTGGCTGTTGGTAAGCAAATGAAAGGAAACTGGTCATTAATTAATAAGAAGCAACTCAAACAACTGTCACTGTGTAATTTATAACCTAACCCATTGATGCTATTATGCTGCAATTACTAAACTGTAGCTCTCATATCAGCTGTTATTAAATACTCAGATTCTCTCAGGATTAGGTTCTTAAAAATAACTGCAACAGTATCAAGAAAGGAGACTCACAGTAATACTGAGCAGGCCAAACAGCTGATAAATACAAACACCTGGGATCCCAAACTGTTCATGACAACAATCACTACAAATACTATGTGGCTGACAGATAAAACAGGTTGTTGCATGCAATTGCTGGAGGCAAGAGATGGTGAGCAACTTTCTTCTCTTCTTTACAGACAGTCCCTTTTGGATGTGCTTTGTGAATCTTAGTAAATCAACAAAATTAAACATCAGAAATTAAGTTTGTAGGTTTATCTCTTCTGTCTTTAATACTACCTCATACATTTTGGACCAAGATATTTGTCCACAGTATTATGTTGCTCTATGAACTTCAGAGTTGCTAATATGACCTAAATATCTCAGTGCATCTTGCAGATCAAACTGTATTTTAACTAGTGAGGCTTTTTATCTTCATGCTGCTAGCACATAAAAGGCTGTTTTAAGAAAGTTGTTAGATTAAACACGCATTAGGAAACATACCACTTTTTTAATCCTATATTTTTCAATTCTAAGGCCTATGTAGGCTTTTACACACCTCCAGAATTAATTAACCACTTATATATTCCCCGTCACATATTCATCTAAGTAAAAAATCAAAAGCAAACTCCATCATGCCTTTTCTTTTCTGAAGTTAGCACCTGCAGATTTGATGAGAACGTAATTCTTCAACAATCTGGAGTAAAACATGTCTAATAAAATGCACTTTAGAGACTTCAGAATGCATGGAAAGAATAGCGCGTTTACATATGGTGCTTATTTTAACAACTCTAAGTGCTTGAAGCACCCTTCTGAAGAAAACTTTTAGGCATCTAGTTCAGGCTAAAAAGTACCAAGTGGAAGAGAACTTTGTTTAATCACATGCAGGCAGAATGAGGACTTTACCTCGCATGATAATCTCAGAAAACAGAGAGATAACCTTTCATATAAATGGAAAAGCTCTGAACAGACCACATCCTTGCTTCTCACAGTTGTCTCTACCCTATTGGAAATATTAGGTGGCACCTCATTTTGATCTTTTACCACATTTTTTCTGCCACAGGACTGCACTGCAGTTCTCCTACTGAACGTAGGCCACCTAGTGTTCAAAAGTATTTACAACCGCTGGTTTAAAAAAGTGTGAAAACCAGCCTGCAACATAGTACAAGGCTGAAGTCTCCAAACGTCCACTGCTTGAGGGAGACAAAAACTGAGGGGATGAGACAAAAAATACTTTTTTTTGGGGGGTAAACAAAAATAGTGTAAAGTGAAAAATATGCTTTTCAGTTCTGTGGGCTCAATGGTTGAATTCAGTCATTTTTTTTCTGTCTTTTCAGATCCTCTATATATCTCTGCAAGCATACTTTTACAATGACAAAAAAATGCACTGTTGCCTAGGACATTTTGAGCATGTTACCAGAAAGGGTCCAGCAGCACATTGCCACAGGTATCAAGATCAAACTGAGGTTCCTTCGAACAAGACCAAAATAAAAATGTGCTTTGAGCAACAACTAAAAAACTTTCCACCTTTTCCTAACAAACAGCTCCTTGTATTTAATCTACACTGCTGAAATTGGTATGAATTTCATCACTGGTATTAAGCAGGAAAAAAATCATTGATTGTCATCTAACTTCACAACTAGATTTTGGTCGATGTGTTGTACTCAATTCATCTGCGAGTCCTGAAAATATTACCGCGGCACAAAAGTTTCCAAGGTAATTTGAAGGCGTGCCTTTTGTGTAGCATGTCCACATTGGAGCAATGGCAATTCTGGCATTTGGGAGGCATTTTCAAAATTTCCAAAAGGTTTTAGGTTTGTGATTTTTTCTTCTTTTTTTTTTTTTTTTTTTTTTTAAATAAAAGGACACTTTACATGTTAACAATCTTGTCTGCAACCATGTAAAATTTTCCAGAGAAAGCACAGAGAAATCTAACATCCTGTCTACTGGGAACTTGTTCCATTCCTTTTAAAATATGCACATTGCATACACCACAACGCACACTAAGCCAAAAGATCCAGACACAGGAAACTGGAATTGCATGTGTAATATAACGATTACAAATTTTAAGGTGTATGCTTCTTCAAAAAGAAAAATTAGAAACACAGAAACATCTTTAAAAGAAATAAAACGTGAAAAATATGTTGTAACATAAAGTATTACACATCCAAGTTCTATAGAATTACAGTACTTTTGTACCTGGTTTATTATCAGAAAGTAGAATCCTCAATAACTCATTAATTTCCATAATAGAAAGCCAGCTCTGAATGAAGAGATAAGAAAAATACATTTGCATCTATATCAAGATGCATGTATTTGGGGTATAGAATACAGTAATAATCATCTACTGCTTTTTATTCTGATCATAGCATGCTTTATAATCACAAGTGAAAATAGACATAAGGAAACAAGTTGTGCCTAAGACCACACAGCAGTAGAGTTGAAGCACTAACACCAGAAAATACCAATTCTCTTGACTTCGAGGCTCTCGTGCAATTATTTGGACACAACACTTCTACACTTAAAAACACCTAGCTTTAAGAAACTACTATACTTCTATATTTAATATGTCTGCATTTCCAAATTTAAAATTATCTGTATTCCAGATTTTTAAATAACTATTACTTAATTAATACATTGCTCTTTCTTCTACCAAGTGTAAGTATGTTTTTATTTTCAAGTAGTTATTTTGAAAGCATGAATATCTTTTCACAGATTTCATCAAGATTATGAGTGAATTAACGTGCGCTGTTCCAAATATTTTAGCATAACGACACGCTTTTGAAGACAGACAACACTGAGGAAATTAATCATGACTTAGCTGGAGTATATTACAACAGCAGCAACAAGAACAAGCTGCTCTTCTTTTTCTCTCTATCCTTCCACCTTCTCCCTCTTTAATGCCCTATTTCATTGGCACAGCAGCCAGTGAAAAACGAGCAAGGACCCAGCTAGACTAGAAACCTGGTGATGAGGCAAAGCAAGAGGGCCACACAAGGGCATGGGAACCAGGGTGTATCTCCAACCTCAGTATCCTACCTGGTAATAGGAAAAAGTCAGCATATCACCTACTAAAACTCTATTCTGACTCTAGTAACGAAGTGAAAACAACAGCAAGAGAGGCCCCACAGCGAGAACTCTGTAGAGCATAATACAGTTTTGATTCCGGGCCGGACTTAGAAAAGCTGGCTGTGTGGAAAAACAAAAAAAGGGCGATCACAGAACAGAGGAGGAGAAGATCACAAATTTTAAGCACTCTCAGCTTATAGCAGAAGACTAGGATTGTCTTACAGTTTGAAAGAAAGAAAACTACTTTGGAAAGATAACTAAAAACAGAACACAACTGACACTAATTTTGTTCATATATTAGTTTACATAAGTGCTTGACAAATCTGTTTACATGTATATATCCATGCTGTTCTGGTAAAGCATAAAATACCTAATTTGTGTATTTATTTTTATTTTAGTAATTAACGCACACATAGAAACCTTAGTCCTACTTCAAAAAGACAGACATCCTTCCATACACCAAATTTTTAAGAAGTGAAAGGGCATTTGTGAAGGTCATTTCACTATGAGCAACATATGTAACATTTAGCATTTGTATTTATTACTTCTCAGTAACTACAGAATTTCTGATACTAATTCCAGTTTCCCTCAAAGGGCACCAACATAATTAATAGCATACCATACAAAATACAAGCTAGCGGACCATCACATTGTAATGACTCTTGGAATTCAAATGTAACAATACTGAACATCAAGCTTCTTTCATAACAAAAATAGAGTAGTTTAAAACTATCTGGATACTCTAGACCTCCATCCGTTTTTCCAAATTTGGTTGCTCTATCAAGATATTTTGTTTTGATAAATGACTGATGATGCAATTATGAAACAGCTTACTCAGGTGTCCTTCTTATCATGTAATATAATGAAACCACTAATATATTTCTGCCTATTTGTACTCTTAATGGTTTTCCTGCAAATAGAAAAGTCTAAATCAACTTTTGTCTCATCATTCCACATTATCATAGCCATAAGGCAAACTGATGTCACTTTCTGCAAATGCCATAATCTAACAGTCAGAAAATACATTTCCATGTCCCTAAATAAATATTCAAATATTTTTAGACAGGCTAAATTAATCATACTCTTTGATTCAAAATGCTCACTAATCTTAATATCGTACAAGCATGTCTATAACACAACACAGCTATCATTAGATATCTTAAGCCATAATTTTGGGATCCCATCTCTTCCTCCTTTACTGCCTCTCTGAAGCTTCTCACCCTTCTCACCTCAACCCAGTTGAAACTGCCATTCCTCCTCTCTTTTGTACACTCTCTCTTAATACATCACTCCTATCAACAAGCAATATACACCTGTTAGCTGCTCTCACTCTCAGGCCCTCACTCATACCACTCCTTGTCCACAGGATGTCCTCTCTAAACCAGCATTCAAAGCTGCTACACCGGTCTTTCCTCCCTGCGAATACTTTCCTTTGAAAGCGCAAATTCTCTGCAGCAGAGGCAAATTTGTACAATTTAACTGTACTAGCACAGTAGGGTCCCATCCTTTTTAGGGATCAGGGTATGAAAACAATTCAAATATGAAAATAATAAACAACATTAAATCAATAATTATGCTAAAGATTTTACTTTCTTTTGTATATAAAATCTAGTTTTTTTTCTGAGCTATGCATGGTACCCTGTACCGTATTCAACTCAGATTGTGTTCAGCACAGGAGAATTGTATGAATATGCTATTTTATAGCCTTGTCAACTTATAGCCTTGAACAACTATATCCCAAATGATACCTAAACGCTGCTGACATGAAACACGAGATTTGCAAGCGTTGTAAATGACCCTTGCAATAGAAATCTGCAGATTCAATTAAAAAGGAAAAAATTCTCAATGTACCACTTCTTTTCCTTTTAAAAATACGTACTATGAAAGCAATTTCATAGGGTGAAAATACGATAACCTCTGCCTTTTTTGAGTGAGCTCCGTTTTCTGAAATATAGAGTATAAGTGCATAGCACATGTTCACATTTAAATCTACATTTAATTTTGCAAACTAACAATTTCGGAGAAGATGCTATGTCATTATGTTTTCTAAAAAGAAAGATTTTTGGTGCACTTTGTATCATAGCATTTGAAATCAAACTTTAATTATAGTTTAACAAATGTTTTACATTAAGAATTGTGTTCATGTTTACATGCAAATTTAACTAATCAAACATTCCACAATAAAATAATCTACCAAGCATTTCAATTGTTTAAACTGCTAAACTCCCAAGGGCACAGAGACATAAGTAAAAACAGATTCAAATCGTCCCTCCAAAAGTTTCAAATTTTTAAAGGCGGGGCAGGTACTTGGCATCCCCACCAATTATATTCTCAGTCTCTTCATCCTTCCTTGGCCTATGCATCAAATCTTTCTTTTCTTCTATCAATTCAGTGCAAAAACTAAAAATGTAAACGATACCTGTAAGATTCAAGATTAGCCTTTATATTTAGCACATTATATGCCACACAATAACCCTTCTCCCATCTTTGAGGACTCTTCATCAACCCTTGAGCATGAAAGTACAGAATCAAATACACTACCTCTTGTACATACCAATAATGAATATTTTAGGACACAAGCCACTTCTTCCAGCGAATTCACCTCAATGGAAACCAGCTGGTCTAAAAGATATAAAGTAGCTTTTTCAAGGCTTGGTAAGTGACGAAGCCATAGGCTGAAGACAGCTGATTCTGAGAGGGAGATCTTCTTTCTGGTTTAGGAGGAAGATACCGTTTTCACTAAGAAGTTGGAAGACAAACAAAAGCGCACATGGCAGAAAAAGACAAAGAAATCAGCCTGCAGCAAAAGAGACAAATTCTGGTTTACAGTGCTCTGTTCAATAAGTAGGACTGCAAAGGTTTCTAAACGTGACCGTAGCTTTATCAAATAATAATGCCAAAGAATAACAGGGGATCACCAAGTAGATACAAATGAACTTTACCACATGCCTTTAAAAATCAAAAATTCATCTCTGCCAGAGCACAGCAAGTGGAAACGGAGGGTTCAAGTCTGGAGTTCCTTAACTCTCTAGAGAAACAATCTACCCCATGCTCCCTCTCTTTAAAACCCAAGCTGTTTCCTGTACACCTGTCTACTAGAAAGTGTCACCCTCTGACAGGCAAGCAGAAAGGTCCTACATAATTTTATTGCTGGCTATAATTCAAAGCATTACCTAGTCTTTGCAAAGAAATAAGAAAACAAATAAAGTAGATCAACTCTTGAGCCCACCAACACTGACTGAAGCCTTTTGAAAGAGAAATGTTTAAGAAGATTTTCACCTGAAGCTTTCAGCTATAACTCAGCTGAAATATAGTATTATATCATTAGAAAATAAAGGGCATAGCATACAGTGGGACAACATCATAATACACGTGGACCAGGAACAAATCAAAAACGCATCACAGTAACCCCCGAAGAAGAGATACCAGATCACAAAACATCTTGGAATATTTTTGCAGCTATTATGCTCGTTTCAGATTAAAAGGTTAAAAGCAAAAAATATACAAATAACTAGAAATATATACCTTGTTCTCAAATGAAGTGAAGATAAAAACCCTAAAACTAGACAGGGAGAGTAACATGCAGGGCTACTGATAAGAGAAAAACATCAACAGAAAGATTTAATAGCTTTTTATGTTCTATTTTTCAATGTATGTATTTTCATCTTTGTCTAAATATCAGCCTTCAGAATTCTGACTGGCATTGAAAAGCCATATATTCTCCAATTCTTGCATACCTTCAGTTAAAACTGTGTGTCCATAGGCAAGAAGAAATATCAAAAACATATTTAGAACTCGAAAATTGTAAAGATCTGCCTAGTCTCAAAATGCTATGCAACTAATATATACCATTATTTTTAAAAATGCATATAAGACTAAATTAAGAATGATATGAGCCTTTTAATTTTCCCGGAAGTCCCTGTTTGTTTGATTTTTTTTATGACAACATAATAGATACTATAACAGAAATAGAAATCTAAGAAGCTCAGACAGAGATGTTTCAAAAGTTAGACTTAAAAATCTCATAGGAAATAAACTGCAATCCTTATCTTTCTGCCACTGTACTTGTAAACAGTCCCAGTGGGACTGTTCCAAGTTCTGTGAAGCACTGCAAGTTACAATCTTCTTCTTAGCACTTAATGACACTAATTCATGGAGCAGGCTGCACTAGAATAGAAGGAAGCATGCTCAGAACATAATGACAGCATTAGGGAACATGCTGTTCAGCTATTCACACAGAGGGGAAAAAAATTACATTCACGTCCCTCTTAAGATTACAAGAGCTTCAGTGAAAGGCCAAGAGTATATCATGTAAAACATGTGCAAGTCCACATCTGTCCTCAGAGAAACCAAAAACTTTTGTCAGAAACCCTTCATGAGTCTTTAGGCAAGAGCAGTATGAACCGAATTCTTTTTGCTCACTGTGGTGAACAAATGGCTCGAAGAGCAGTTTATTTCAGTCAGAAGAACCCTTTATGACCCTGTAAAGTGTTCAGACTCCCATTAAAAAGTGGCAAAAGTATGTCATGATTGACTGCTAGCTCACTGACATGAGAATAGACCATTTATGCTGAGTTGTGTACCTGACCTGAGAAAGTTTTCTAAATTTTATTATTGCTTGTGGAACATGTTCAGCAGAAGCAGTAGAAGATATACATGTGAAAGTCTGTTCATTGTTTTTTTGCGACACATCCTTCACTAAAGATCTTCAGATTCTTTTTTCACTCATTTTTCTCAGCTTTGAAGAAATGTCTAGAAGCATTTGTACCTAACACCCTAACAGTTCCTCTTCCCCACTAGCTACGATCTTTTTGCTGAAATGTTCAAGGAAACAATGATGCATATAAGGATCTTTATCTGAACATCTCAGAGATAATGCTGCTGGGTGCAGGGGAAGCAGTTAAAATTTTGATTAGAAAGGAAAGAAATGAATAACTAGGGTGAAGGTCCCAAAGGACCCCTTCTAGTATCAAAAGAACTATTTAATAACACATAAAATGCAATTTGGTAAAATCTCTTTTGCAATTTTTATTTGCTTTTTTTTTTTTTTTTTTTAAAGCTTTGGGTTATACTTCTCTAGCATTAGATGATCTTTTATTTGTCCCATTCGGAAATCGCTGCGTTCTCTGAAAATAAGGAGGTTGTACTTGATGTCCTAAAGAAAGCCTGAGTAGGGAGTAACGGGTAAAACTGATATTCTTGTGTTCACACCTCACACTTAGAGGTATTAAATAAAGCTACTTCAAGTCTGGCAGCTTCAGACAGGGGCATTTTCACATGCCTGTCATTCAAGTCCGTGATGCCACAGACCTCTACACTCAAGGCCAAATCGTCATATGCCAAGATGAAATGGATTTTACTAATTGACCAAAGATGACAGCAAGTATCCACTGACATGGGTACGTGAGAACTTAAGTCTCAGTAAGAAATTCAGGGCCACCCTTTTTGGCTGCAATTCTACTAGGTCAACTCTCAATCAAAAACGTAGGCTGCACCATCTCCCCTTCCCTAGCAAAGCCAGTCTTCCTGATGTTCAGCTTCACTCAAATGGCCTTTATCCATAGGCTGATTTTATTAAAAACAGTTGTTTTAGTATCAGAGAAACAAAAAAACCCGTATTTCACAAATTGCTTCTATTAGCCTCATTAAAAACAATCTGCCGTAAAATAGGAGAATTGAAAATGTTAAGAACCAGTTTCTCAGGAAAAATAAGAGAGCATGGAACCACTCAAATGCAAGAATCCATTTTCTGAAAAGAAAAACAAAAGTTTTAAAGATGGCACTTAAAATCTCATGGTAGGAATGTTCATCCACTTCTATGAAAGGTAAATAATAATTCTATGAAAAGTGATCACAGCTTTTACATTACCTCCTAAAAATTCAGTGCCTCCATTTTAGAGAAAAGGTGGGAAGAGGTTCCAATCAGTATCTAAACCTGTTATGCCATAATTTGTACATCAGCAAGTGAAAATCCTGGTTTGTCTTACAACTTGAGGTCTGCTATTCAAGTGCAAAGGAAATATTTTATTATAATACAGAAGATGCTTAGTGTATTCAGCATACAAGTCCAGGGAAAAAAGATACTTCAATTGATTTAATATTCTTTTTCATGAAGAGTAGAAAAATCATAAAGTCTATGCTACTTACTTTAGAAAGGCCTCATTCACTGCCTCTAGAAACTCTGAACTGAGAATTTCCTGTGAAGCGCCTCCATGGTAAAGAAGGAGAGTTTCCAGCAGTGGAGTTAAATCAGGCAAAGTAATCAGAGGGAGACAGAAAAGGGACACCTCACTCACACGACTGGCTGGAACTCTGACGGGAAAAAAAAACAGATACAGTTCCTATTTTAGAAAAGTCAAAACTTCAACGTCTAAAGCTATAAAGCAAAAGATTAAATTAATTACAGAAGGTTAAGTGCAAGAGATACGTATCTAACTGTATAAAGACTATTTATTGGAATTAACACTGTGTTATTATTACATATTGTTTGAAGAATCTTGAAAAGAAGTCAGATAAAACTCTGCTATCTTAGTGCTCAGGGCAACTGCATGCGGTGCATCAACCCAATTCTGAAATGGAGCTAGGTGTTCATTCATTAATTACACCCTTTCTAATGGTGAATGCTTTGCTCTTCCCAAGAAAGAGCGAGGGGTAAGGAAGACTACAGTTTCACAGCTCCCATGTAGGTTTACTGGATTCTCAGAAGAGACAATCTAGCTGGTTTTAAGGCTTCCTGTGGTTTTAATTTGACCTCTCTCTCTCCTTTTAACAGAAATTGCTTCTGCGGACAAAACAGCAGAAATCCTGCTGTCTTCAAGCTTTTAGGCAAAAATGATTTGTCTTAGAGATCTACAGTTGAAGGACTATATAACACATTTGAATCTTAACATATGGAACACTCACTCAACCACCTTGCTAAAACTGCATATTAGGAAATGATCCAAGATGGTGAATTAGCTTGCCATAAGACAAAGAAGGAAAAAATCATGTATGAACATATTCTTAAAATCCTCTACTCAGCCCCGCTGAGGCCTCACCTGGAGTCCTGTGTCCAATCCTGGACTCCCCAGGACAAGAGGGACATGGCACTACTGGAGAGACTACAAAGCGGAGGACTACAAAGAGGATGAGGGGACTGGAGCATCTCTAACATGAGGAAAGGCTCAAGAGAGCTGGGACTGTTCAGCCTGGAGAAGAGAAGACTGAGGGTGGATCTTTATCAACGTGCATAAGTATCTGAAGGGAAGGTGTAAAGAGGATGGGGCCAGACTCTTCTCCGTGGTGCCCAGCGACAGGACAAGAGGCAACGGGCACAAACTGAAACACGGGAAGTTCTGTCTGAAAAACAGGAAATGAGGAAAAACTTCTTGACTGTGAGGGTGACAGAGCACTGGAACAGGTTGCCCAGAGAGGTGGTGCAGTCTCCTTCGTTGGAGGTGTTCAACAGCCGTTTGCACCGAGTCCTGGGCAATGTGCTCCAGAGGACCCTGCTGGAGCAGGGGGGTTGGCCTGGATGATCTCCAGAGGTCCCTGCCAACCTCAACAATTCCGTGATTCTGTTACATGCAGAGGAGAGTCATACAGGCATTTCAAAGAACAGGCACACTTTGGGCACACAGTTCATATAAAAATACCTATCTTTATGGGGGCAGTAACTGAAATATACTTAATTTACTTGCAATCAAGTGGATTCTACTGAAGCATGCTAAATATAATACTTTTTAAAGCATTATAAAAAGATTATAATATGTGTTTCAAGAAGTGGATATTCAGTAGAAAGGCTCAATCATGTCCAAAATAGCGAGGAGAGCAGCATTAGGTGCTTTTTTTCTTCGTCACAGATTTTGGCAACTGTAGTTCATACAACTCACTTACTCAGTCCTATCCTCTAATTCACTGTATTTAAGTAGTGTGGATGAAGCATGTGATTACTCTCACTGGCTATACCTAGACATGTAGAAACACACTGCATCATGTGGTAAGGGGATTATTAGCATCTCCTGATAATCCAGATTGGCAGTCTGGCCACAGCACATCACAGCTTCTTCCCAGCCCACTTTCCCAGGCCTTCTTCCTTAGAAAACTAGGGCAAGGCAGCAGTTAAAGGGGAGAGGATAGTATATGCTTGGGTCTCTTCCTACACAAAACATTTAATGTTGCACAGTTTAGACACAGCTACACAGTCTTATAAACTTGTAACTTGCAAAATGGAGGACTACACAGTGTCAATAATGGGGCAGCAAATTCAATCTGTGGCTAACTGCGCAATAGTGGTGAAAACTACCCTTTCGATAGCAAGTAAGTAATAAAATCTACTTCATAATTAAAGTCTGCAATGCTCATATACCTCAATCATCAAAAGGAAAACAGCCAAGCTGCTGAGCAAGATATTTAAAATACTTGTATGTGAAACACGCAGTACTGCCACAATACTATTTGTTACCAGACCAAGGAACTAAGGGTAAGCAAAATAGGAGAGACGACTATTTAAATAAGCGCAATCAAATGTTATTAATAATAACAACTGCAAAGTAACTACCATTCAGCCATACTAAACTACCACTCACACACACAAACGAAAACTTTTTGTTTGGAAAAAAAGCTTTTTTTTTTTTTTTTTTTAAAAAAAACATTTTTCATTATGGTAACTGCTAGTTAACTACAGTGACTTTGGCTATAAGGAGGCATTACAGCAGCCAATGTTGTGACTATCACGTAAGTACAAAGACTTTTGTGAAGTGCAACTTAACGAGCTTGTCCACATATGAAATTTTCTAAAACACCTGACCACCCAACATTTTTAATTGATGCCTCAATACTTACATGTCCATGGCTGTAAAAAGGTCCTCACTGAACTATAATGATCCAAACCAAAACATACCAAAATGATGTTTAGATAACACCTACCTCCCTTGAATGTTAAGTCCATTAAACTCATTTCCTCTAAGTTCTGCTACTAACGATAAGACCATCTGTTTAATAAAGTAAATGACATTAAAATACACACACTGCAAATAAGCAAACAATAGTTGCATTATGCTCTATGAGAGTGACATCTTTGGAAATCAGTAACGTTCCCTGTCTACTCAGTTTTATTTTTTAATTTTTAAACTATTGGTACCAAATCAAAGTTTTCTAGACCACTGAATGGCTAAATTACACCACAGAACTTTTTGTGAACACCAGTGATATATCTTCTCCATTTGACAACTGGTAAGCGACTTATTTCAGCTCTGTTTCCCCAAGAGTTGAGGCAAACCTTTAAGAAGAGTGTTACTGATAATTTTTCTATGCTTTATCTAATGTAATCATTAGATAAAGCATCATTTTATATTATGAAATACTATTTCATAATGATTTTTATATAGTAAAAGACAATTTTCCTAAGACTCAGGGCTCGTCTAGCATTTTAAAAGTAGCATTTACAGTCAAAAATAAGATTCCAAAAGTTACATTCTAACACACAAAATAATATATATTAATTTTAACTTCGCCATGGGAAAAAATGATAGGCTAGACATTTTTTTGTTATAACAACAGCAACAGGTATTTTTACCAATATGTATTACAGTATAATCTAACCAAAAAAATTCTTTTTTTCTGCAGAGATCTCCCATTTCATTTTCTCCCTTAAAAGGCTGTAAAAGTAATTCAAGTAAGAAAAGATAAACAAAGTTCAGTTCCTGTTCCTTATAACAATGACAGCTCCATGGATCTGCTTATAGACTGATGATTTATTATTAACAAAATCTCAATTGCACAAAATACTTACATTTTTAACCAAGTGAGAATAATAATCTGCTGACGTGTAGCCAAGAGCTGAAATGAATGTATTGGTCCCAGCTTCATTACTTTCCCATTTAGAAGAGGAAAGGAGATGGCAGAGCAAACTCTAGAAAAAAAATCAACATACCGGAAATAAAAAAAGAGTTTGAGGCTACAACACACTTTTTAAAAAGAAACAACTGTTCCTGAGCTCTACCTGGGTAAGATCTTTTGATGGGTTGTGGTCATATTACACTATCTGATCGATATACAAGAGCACACACCTTCTTTCAGCCATAAGGAAAATGCCTCTGCTGCTTACCATCAATATGGCACGTAGGCCATATAATTTCAGAACTTCCATAGGAGCAGAGGACACAGTGCCAAAACCAGAGACCCTTAGGTAGATTTCAGTTCTCTGGGATCCATTTAAGTCCGACAGTCTAGAGTATAGGGGAATAAGCATTGCTACACCGCAGAAGAATCCACGTAACAATACCCTAATTAGGAACAGTAAGTGAGAAGTTAATATTTACTTTTCACTTCACTTCTTCAAGATGCCCCAGTATTTTAGCTGTTGCTCAGAATCTGGCCTCAAAATTTAATTTCCTTCATCAGGAGATAATGACAACTTTTTACTTTGACACTTACTTCTGTAACAATTTCATTACTGAATGCTTTAAGACATATTTTGAAAAAGCTTTGCAATATATCATCTAAAAAAATCAAAACAATACTTTGATAGCAGACATACTGTAAAATTAAAGTGAAATTAACATATGTGAGGCGCTGATTCTGCAGAAGTGTACAGAGAAAGATCCTGAACGCTTGTTTCATGCCTTCCCAATATTCCTGTACTATATTACCAGCTGTGGTGTCATTTGGACATATCTTAATACTCCAGGTCTTCTGATACAAACAAGTTTATGAAAACTATTGTGGGAAGTTTAGAGCATTCAGGTTTTTGCATCTTACTACCATAACTGATCTGAGGTAGTTATATGTTGCTTATCAACTGATCCAGTCTTAATTTAATCTAGGCAATTGCCCATCCTCAACTGCTCTGTGCTGATATAACACATAATAACAGCTATGTTCCATTTTCAGAGGTTCTTTTAAGGTCTTATATATCATTGATATTTAACTTATAAATTAGATTACACCCTATATGGCAATAAATATGAAACCCTTTGTGATATTGAAAAAGACCTTCATTAAAAGTTCATTTTTGGAAAGAAAGTTCAGATGAAAGTTCCTTGACCTCTATGGTCTTAGGAGGTCTTACTTTATGCACATTTTTTTAAAAGGGGAATGTGATCAAATATTCTAAGTCAAAAAAAAATCAGCTAAGTCATTTTCTGCTTTCAGAAATCCAAATCAAACATTTATATACGCTTTTTTGGACTCTAATCAACTGCCTCAGAAGTCCTGGAATTAAATCTATTCCATGTTTGACGTATTAATGTAAGAGAGAAGACACAATCCATGGAAGCACAACAAAGGGCTAACAAAAATTCCTACTGTCAAAAGAAATAACAAAAGTTTGGGACACTTTATTTCTTGCACTTGTGTTTTGGATTATTTTACTATGTTGCAGACCTAAGTTAAACACCTAAATAGGTCTTCTTTCACACTAAAGCTTGAAAGCTTTTTTTCTTTTTTTCCTAATAGCCCTGAACAGAAGAAATTGCTGTTGGACTGCCATCTGGTGACTTTGCTAAACCTAAGGGGAAAGGAAAATACCATGGCAAAAGAGTTTCAAAATAAGTAATTTACATGCAGCCTTTGTATTCTTAAGAAATTTAAAAGGGGGATTTTCAAAATGGGCAAACTTCCAAATATAGTTGAAAGAGAAGCCTAAAATCTATGAGCATTTACAGTATCCAAATACCCTTCAGTTAGCTGATTACTATGAAACCATATATAATTTTATTTTTCTTTGTAACTACTATTAATGTTAGAATTTGTCTTCAGAACACTATGAAGAATTCACACAAGCAGTTCCTACAAAATAGGAAGGTCTCTAGCAAGTAGAATGAGATGAAGGATTAGATTGCTAGATGAAAACAAAATAAAGGAGGAGCTAGTAACAGCAAAGCTGGGACACTCCTTTTGCTACAGATGAGAGGGTTTGAAAACCACAAATGTTGTTAGACTGCTCTCAGTGGAAGAGTTGCAAAAAGTTTCCACAGCTGGGAACAACAAACATACAAAGCTCTGAAAAGGATTAGACCGGTAGACATGGCAGCTAATGACAGCCAAGTGAGGGATGAATCTATAAACCATTATATTTAACTTTAACACTACAAAATATATTCCTAAGTCATCCTTTATGTTATCAGAATTTTCCGAAGGTCGAAACTAACCAAATACTCTTTATATGAAGATTAATTTCAAAATTATTTTCCCCTGTCCTAAGTAACAGTTATGGCTAACCTTTCAATACAAGAAAAGACAAGACAAAATTACTGCATGCCATTAGAGTTTGGATATGGCCTCCAGCATTAACCTCTCTCTCTTTTTTTTTGCATCATTATATTTTTCTCAGCACTTTACTGTATCCCTGCTGGGATTTTGCACATCATTTCAGCCATGTTTTCCAAACACCGAGAAGCTCTGAACAGCCAGAGGCAGGCAGGGAAATAAGGGTAAGGAGATATCGTACTCAAGATGAAAGGAAGCCCAAAAAGGTACGCATTAGGAGGTGAAAGACATCAAGAATTCAGGTCTCTATTCTTACATATTTAATTTTAAAGACCCTTTTGCCAGTGCAAAGCCTGAAACAAACCGACATGCAACAAAGATAAGAAATTGCGTAACACCAGTTTAAAGCATTTGTCCCTTCAGACTAGATTTAAATGCTTACTTTCGTCCCAGCCATGTCCAGAAAGTCTTCCCTTTGTCACCAAAATGTAGTTCATTTAGTGCATGTAGTTATAGCACATTGTATATATTTTTATATATTACAACATATAAAATATATATATGCCATAGAGACAACACATCGTGTATATATATTTTTAATATATAGCACATTATTCAGTTCTAGTTATAGGTGATAATTCTATTTCTAAAATATATCGTATTAGCAGATAGCTGTCTGAAAGAAAGCAAACCTATTAACAATCCACTTCTACATTCTACTCCACCTAAAGCCAGAGATGGGTTTTTTTCAGATGATTTTTCCAGCAACTTAGAACAGCTCCAGAAGGCAAATACAGTAGCTGAGACGCAGTTTTCCAGTGAGAACACGGAAAGTGAAAACAAGCAAACTGTTCCAAGAGATGATCTCTAAAGAGAAAAAATAGCTGAGAACAAAAAGATCATCAGATAATTATTTTCTTACGCTATTTGTCTATCTTTCTCCATGCTATATAACACTAGCTACACTATCAAAAGTATAATGCAAACCAGGCATAGCTATTTTTAACCAAATAGCAGTGAAAATTCTCTCCTTTATATCAAGCCTTAAAATTCACTGACAACTGTTTAAATTCCACTAACACTCAGGTTCAAAAAGGAGAGTATCAATAAATATTTCATGTAGCAGTATAGAATTTCGTTAGAATCAGACAGTTCTGAGAATGAAAATAAAGCAATGGTTTCATATTTGTGAAATTCTCTTTTGCTTTTGAAATTAACTGTTTCAGAAAATACTATGGAAAACTCTAGAAAGCTTTAAGAGACTTTCTCACAATGGTTCTTAACTATAGGAACATTCAAAACAAATAATAGGTTCAATTATTGCAGTAACAAGTCCACACATATCATGTTGGAAAAGAAGAAAACACAGCAGGTGTTTTATATAGCACTGAATAGCCACAGTTCGGATTCCTGAGGTCACAGAGATGAGTAATTTTAGAACAGTGACTTCTAGGGAACCCTTTCAAGCCTGACAGCAAGAATTCAAGAACACGATGGGCAAGGTGTCCATTTTAAACATCTTCCTACACTGTCGATCTCAGCCACAAATCCTAGCCTATTTCAATAAAGTAGAAAACGTGAGCATAATCAGCAGCTATTTATTGCAGTTAGCGAATTAATGCCCACTTTCTAAGCCACTTATGCCATATTCTACAAGTCAGAAAAATGAATGAGTATGAAGAAGTACTGTGTTCAGAAAGAAAAAACATGTCATGATTCTGGAAAATTAACAGCAGTCAGGCATGATATGATATCAGAAGTTATTTCTTCCTATTCCAGCTTCTCAGCGTTGATGCAGTAGGAAACAGAAATGAAAGCATCTTGCATCTCAGTTCTAGCTGCAAGAGAATTAATCTAAGACCATGGGGATGATGGATGTAAGTTCTGTGACATAATCCTGGGAAGCCTGCTAGTGAATTAATAAATTTATAGAAATGTTTGAAAATGACCAACTTGCTAGAACAACTTTGCCTTTCATGTTATTTTACTGATGTAGTTTGTATCAAGTAATATTCTAACTAACCTGATGTAACATTCACTGCTGCACTGGGATTCCTAACAATCTTTGAAAAGACAGATAATCCTAGGAGGATTCGCTTGAAGACATGAAGTTATCACTTTTACCTGTGTAACACAATGCTTGGTATCGTTCACATTTTGTATTGGAGGCAGACCGCTTACCTAACGTTACTGCTGTAGACTGTGGTTCGGCGATAATGCTGCCCCTTATTAATTCACTCAAGGAAAGTGAACGGAAGGAGGATGGACCCTGAAATGGAAGACTCCTCTCCAAGAATGTAAATGGAGAAAACAAGTCACTATGTTTCTTGGTTACCGTGCACCCTTACCTGAACTGAACTAAGCAACTGAAAAACACTTCCTACCTACCCCTTTCCAATTAAGATAATCCAACTCTTTTGTTATTCCTTCAGTAATGAAGGCTGAGTATCAGTGTGCTATAAGGGATTTGCTGAGTTACTCTACAAAGTTTATTTTTCAGAGACAAATTGTCCCTTGAAACGCAGACCTCAGTAAAAGCCCTTTCCAGAGCACAATTTGCACCTTCATTGAGATATGCAGAGCAACACTGGGCAAGTATCAAGTTGTGTTCACAATCCCAGCAAGGAAGAGAAGGTATTTTGGTCTTTTGATACTGCCTTTACTAAAAAGATCTACCTAACAGATCTAAATATTTTTTCCCATCTTTCTTAATAGTTAATATCCTCCTTCTTACACCCATGGGGGGCGGGGGAGTGACTTAGAGGTACAATTACTCTGAAATTAATCAACACAGAAATAGTGCTTGGTTTTTATTATAGGACCACATAGTAAGTTTTACACTAGAAACTGTACTTATGTAGAAACCATCCCGGAATTTATGACTCAGTTTCAAAGACATTCCAGAGGAATCAAATAAACCAATTTGTTTCCAGAAACTTCTCAACACACTTTCTCTAAAAAATTTATGATTCCAAATGTCTTTAAAAGTAGATGTTAAAGTTAACAGAGATCATATATT